GGTTATTCATAGAGAAAAATTAAAGCGCAGTTCATTTTATTTAAAGTCTCCCCTCTCTGTCCAACCCCGACGGCTGTCCGTTTTCCGTGGGAAGGGTTGCGCGTATGGTGTGGAGCGTGTTAAGCGCCTCTGGAAGAGTTAGCAGTGCATTGAACAGTTCCAGCGATTTCTTTTACCTTCAGTTTACTTTATTTGCGCGTAATTATCAGCTACAGAAAGGCCACAATCGGGGAGGTTTTTTTTTTTTTTCCTTCTTTTTTTTAGTGGATGAGTGAAAGTGATTTGTCTTTTGTTTCTTACCCTCTTTCTTCCCTATTATCGTTGCGTTCACAAAAAGAGGGCATATGATCGTTTGAGCTTGAAAGAAGAATACTCAGCAGTGCTGAAGCACTGAATTTATTATTTTCATATTCATTAGATATGTACATTTTAATGAAGTGTTACCATTCCAGACATTATGTGTGTCTGCCTTTGCTAGGATATTCATAATAAAACCCAAAGAAACCCAAGCAAGTTTACTCATACGTCTAATTAAAAAAAAGTAAAAGGAATTCCGCTGTCAAGTAGAAAGAAACCAACACCTAAACTTAAAAAAACTGCTGAGGTGTCTTCTTTGTATAAAGTGGAAGGACATCACAGCTTGTTTTTATCCGGTGTTTCCTTGTATCTTGATATCCACGAGTAACGACTGTATTTACCTTTTAACTCTTTAGTAGTTCTTTGTGCTGACATCAGACTAGCTTGCTTGGCATTACTATTTCAAAATTAGATGTCATTGATTCTTGAAATGTCTTAGAACAATATAGTAAGATGTGTGAATTTAATAACTTAAAAATTAATACAATGTCTATCAGAAGAGAGTGCTTTATTAAGGATCTGTTACTAAGGAAAGTGCCTACTAATACATAAGCAGGGATTTTAAAATTGTTTTATATATGCATATTCTTATATCTGTGTATATATATATGTAATGAACCCTATGAAGAGCTTTTGTGATGCAGACACAGTATTTAAATTGTTTTAATGCAGTGATTACATTCCACATTTCAACTTTATTTTTTTTAGCTGATCATGGTTTTTCTAAAAGTTCCTAATGTCTTAAATATTTTAAAGTATTTTTATTTAAATATTTTATTAATAAGAATCATAAGTAATTTTCATAATTTCCATTAGCTGTTTACTGCTTTACAACTTTAATTCTAAAGGTATGTTCAAAATAAAGATTACTTTCCTTTTCACTAGACTTTCATCTTGAAAGAATAAATATACTTAAAAGGGTAAATGCATTTATTTACATTTCTCTATTTCTTGGTTTAATTGGCTGTGTGATTTTTGGATTACAATTTTAAACATCTGGATAGAAACTAAGCAAGATATATGTGTATACACACACATATATAATCTGAGTTCAGACTAAATTGCTCTTTGCTGAGGAAAATCTTTGTACCTCCATATGATTCTTTTTATTAAAGGTCTGGTTATCTACTACTCATCTGAATTTTGAGGAGGACCCCATTTTGTAACTGGTTATATGGGAGTGGACTGCTGTGATACACAACGTTTTATTTATGTCATATCTAATTGCTGAAGCTAGATTTAATTAGTTTGTTGAGAACGTACTTTGAAGATGCAAGGTGATATGTAAGTGCAAGTGTCGTCATGTGGTTTAATAAGACATTTGTCCTTTTAATGTTAAGCATCACCACAGTTCTGCTGAACTGAGTTTTGAGAGGTTGAACCTTAATACTTAGAGACCTTGGATCTAAATTGGCTAAGAATGCTATTGTAGGGAGGGCACTGTGAAGCTGCGTTTTGTCTTTCTACAACTAAAGAGTGTAGGTGAAATCTTCTAGTCAAAGGGAGCTCTCTAAAGCTGGCTTCTCTAAAAAAACAATCAAACCAAAGGCAGCTTCAGTAACTGTAGTTATTATTCAAAATAGCATGTAATTATTTTTTTTTCCTGATTTCTTAATTTGTTTTCTAGGTACTGAGTTTGTGCTGTGAAGCTTGCAAGAAAGTAATTTTTCATGTTCCTTCTGAACTAGAGGCTGACACGTTAGTTGGCAGAGGTGAGAAACTGCGAGATGCCCATCTTAACAACACAACATTGCACCTTTGCTGGATATGCTGTTAACAGTGAAGGAGACTTTTTTTTTTTTTTTCAATGGAATGAATGGATGACTGGACAGCCAGTTCAACAGCTGGATCAGCCTTTTTATGAAGTATACGCCCTGTGTTTGTTATGGATTTGAACACTGGCTCCGTGCATCCATTTGACTTATGCATAAACAGCTATGTCAGCTTTCAGTATTTGTTTTAAAACAAGAATGGCAGAGTTTAATGGTTTCAAAATTTGGAGTCTAGTGCTTACTATTTAAATAAGTGGCTTAGGATTCCAAAGAGCACCCGTAACCCACAGAGTCATATGAAGAAGTCAGTAAGTTATTTGGATAATAGAAAAGAAAAAAAAAGAGAAGACAAAACCCACACAAGCAAAGCATCCAGAAGCTGCTGCTCTGTGTAACATGAACGGGATTTCTCAGCAGTGCTGGGGCATTCTGGGCACGCAAGGAGAGGAGTTGCAAAGGTGTTCTTCATGTACATGTGGCTGGGAGAGCGCTCCTGTCTGACTGGATGGTCTGTCTCGGTTTAGGGCAGTGTGCAGGTGACTGAGAGGAATAGGGGAGACCAGAAGACACCCCCAGTCTTTTTTTTTTTTTTTTTTTTTTTTTGGACCAGTCTTTGAAAGGCAGCTTTTAAAGGTGTGGCATGGGAGCTGCTACAGGGTTCTGTGCTGCCTGAGTCTGACTTTGAAGGTTCAGAGATGTGAATCCTAGGATGACAAGAGGAGTGTGTTCCAAATCTGCAATCTGAATTCACCTTCCTACAGAAGGAACAAATAAAGTGGATTGATAGTTCATCACAGTGCAAGTGCTCAGAAAATGTCCTCACTGTTAAGTTTTAAAATGAGAGGTTGCCACAGCTATTGAAGTATTTAGCATGTTCTCAGAGACTTGAGTATTCCTCTATGTAAATAAACTTGATTTATGTAGAAACGAAACTTCATGTTATTACAGTGCAATGAAAGAAATTGCATAATATTGAACTTGAACTTTTTTTCCCAAACATTAAACAAAGTTTTTGTAGCTTGAATTATGTTACTTAAACATTTATTAAGAAAGCGTAATATATTTTGCATTGATACAAGGACCATACCTTGACAATGAAATGAGTCAGGATTTTCCTGACTGTTGTAAGGTTTTTTATGTTTCTGACTTAACGCAACGTATATGAGAAGCTGTAAAGAAAAAACATCCCACAAAGCTATGGCTAACTGAGCATAACGTTGACTCACATAACCATCAGGAACAAAATCTCCAGTCTGATACTTTTGGAAATGCAGTGCTGTAATGTGCAGCAGTATGAGACACCACAGTGATATTTTCAATGATACTAAATTTTCATTGTACAGATTGACGAGGGAGAGGAGACACTGATGTAGTGCTATAGAAAGTCTAGGAAATGTTTAATTGAGCAATTAAAGGAATGCTTTAAGGAAGGAAGAAATCATGTAATATTTTAGATTATGCTTCACATCTGTTCTTGCATTCTGGAAAGAGGAATTAAATTTAGTTTATTGAAAATATCTGCATATATGGGGTGAGACTCTGAATCTGCTGTGGGAATTTTGCAATCAGCTTTCATAGACCAAGGTCCCATCCTCTATGATATCACTGAAGGAATATTAAAAAGTTTTGGAGAATGTGGCAGTGTTGTACTCTGCAGGAGTCATTTGTTTAGGTCTCTGGTGGTCATCTTTTTCAGGGTACCAAATCGTTCTTAGTGCTGTGGCCCTGCTGCAGTTCATTACAGTTATCCTGATTTTGCTTTTTCTCCAGCTGTAGTGCTGAATTACTCACAGATGAACCAAGTTTATTGAAGTGCATTGGATTTTATTTTAGCCGCAAGTGACAGCAAATGCAGTAAAAAAATACCTGAGAAGTATGCTGATTTTACCTGGTACTTCCTATAAATTGCATGTACATATTAAAAAATTACCAATTGTTTGTTCTAGAGTTAGTCTTTGTCTCTCCCATCTGTCTGCCTCATAATTGAAAGGCCTGTGTCCTCCCGAGACTATTAAATCACATAGTACCAGTATTAAATCACATAGTACCAGTCAATGCATTCCTCCTAAAGGCAAAACTTCCAAGATGTAATATTATCATCAGGTATTTGCATTAGTTTATCATCACTGATTTTGTAGGGCATGGAGCACAAGGCAAACGTAATAGCTGCTGATCCAATGATGAGCGTGTCTACAATGTTTTTTTCATTTAAACATATTAGTTCATCTTTGACATCTCAATAACTTTAGCAGTGTAATAGTGTCCCGTTGAAACATATCCATGAAGCATTTGTGTCCTTTAGGAAACACAAACACAAGAGTAGAAATTAATGTAAACTCTGTCAAATCTGAGTGCATAAATGCATTCTAGAATCTGTATTTGTGGCACAGAAATACTGAATGAACAAATGAACAAAATGAAGACTCTGTGTCAGTAAATATAATTTTTAGTTAGGGATTCTTTGTTTGTTTTGTGAAGGATGTTATTGTTTCACTGTTTGAGTTAATGTCTGAATTTTTTTTCTTGCAGTTGATTTGAAAGAATGCCTTCAGTCTGCAGAGTTTATCAGTTCCAGTGATGGGAACTTCAAAATTCTAGAGGATGGTTCTGTGTACACAACATCTGCTGTTTCTTTGTCTGCTGAGAAAAAGACTTTTACCATATTACTTAAAGACATTCAAGAACATGTACAAAAGAAAATACATGTTACCTTGGTGGAAGAAGAAAAAAAAGTAAGCTTCTAATTTGAAGATATCTCACTTATTTGAAATCCTGTTTTACAGAGTACAGCTTTGTGCTGGGTAGCTGTAGTTGTTTTTTGGAATTCAAATAATCAGGCAAAGCACTCTGGCTTAGAGTGTATTTTTATTTAGCAGTTGAGGATTAGTGTGTAGCTTAAGTCAGCAGACTTCCTCTCTGAAATGGGAAATGCTAGCAACGAGCTTGACTGGGAACATCAAGAATCTTAAAAGCCATGTTTAAGGAATCAAAACAGTTTTTATTTGTGGAAAGTATTACAATGAATGAAAAAACTCTTGGAATACTATCACAGATAAAATCATAAATGAGGACCTAGGAAAAAACAAATGGTCAGTGTGAAAACCGGAGCAGAAGGAAAAAAGATGAAAACGCAGGACAGTAGTTAAGCAAAAATCTACACGGTTAAGAATATATGGATATATTCATACCTGTCTTTTTTATCTTCTAGACCCAGACACAGAAGACCAGGCATGCTAGAGATACAGTTCTCAAGCGAACCAAAAGAAGGTGGGGCCCTATTCCATCTGTTATGGTAGAGAACTCACTGGGACCTTTTCCACTACAAATTCAGCAGGTATATTTTATATGGATCCCAATTTTATGACACAAGCTAGTTTTGTATGTGACTTTTATGGTAAAAGAAGAACAAAAGTGAGCTCTCTTGTATTCCCTACTGATGACATTC